AACTAAAATGTCTCTCACACACAGCCTGGGGCCGGTGCTGGGGGAGGTCCTGCGTTGGAGGGAGCCGTGGCCCGGAGACATCTTCAGGAGTGGGGCTGTTTTATTTACACCGGGAAACCACTTTTGTTCTGTGAGCTCGGCTCTACCTTGTAAACGTTTCAGTGTTTTAGTCAGCAGGTTCAGGTGCCTGTCTGCACCTTGCCAGCACTGCTGTTTGTTACCGCTTGGTGCTGACTGACCATGGTGGTGGTTCTGGACAGCTGTGACCAGCCCTTGACTGGAATATTAGACCTTTCACAGGTGTGAGGCTGGATTTTGAAAACAGCTTCTTCTCTTTGGTTCCATAAGGAGTACATCATGTTGGACCTGCACAATAGATACTGTTGGCTGAAACTTAATCATAAACTGTTGTCTGTTTTTATAACTTCTTGAGTCTTATTTGTTGTGGCTACCATTTAAAATTAGGCTGTTTTGGCAAGAGAATGTCTAATACAGGATAGACGGTTTTTCCTTTCCTATTCAGATTGAAATTTGGGCCCAGCAGTGGTAGTGGATCGGTGTTGTGTGGTCCCGCCATGGCCGCTCCTGGGGACCGTGGCTGCACCATGGGGTGTCCTCGGGGAGCAGAGCCCGAGTCGCAGGGGTGAGGCTGGGCCTGGCCTGGTCCACTGTGCCCCTCCCGCTCCTGCAGGAGTGGCTTTGGTGGGGAAGATCCCGGGGGTGGGGCGCTGTGCGGTAGGAGTGGCTGGAAACAGTACCTGCGTTCTTTCAGGAGTGAGGTTCTGTCTTTCAGAAACGTGCTTTTATTTGAATTCTTAGATCTGATAGGAGAAGCCTGTATTTGAGCCGCTGTCCAGTTTGTCCACCGATAAGTGTGGATGTTGTTAGTTGCCCTCGAGCCAGCTCGGACTCGTGGTGTGACATCACGCGTAACGGAACGAAACGCTACCCAGTCCTGCGCCGTCCTTGGGACCGTTGGTGTGTTTGAGTCCGTTGTTGCAGCTGCTGTGTCAGTTCATCTCATTGAGGGTCTCCCTCATTTTCAGTGACCCGCCACTGTACCAGACATGATGTCCTTTGCCAGAGATTGGTCTTTCCTGATGACATGTCCAAAGTCTTGCCATCCTCACTGTGCGGAGTGTTCTGATTGTATTTGTTCATGTCCATCAATGCTATGTGCTCGGTGCCGGGACCACAGAGACAGGAAGACAAGACCTGGGCCCTGAGTGGAGCGGCGGGGGCAGTGCCCGCAGCCTCCTGCCCTCCGCCTCCTCCTGGCAGACAGTACTGTCTCACCCTGGCCTTTCTGCAGAGAGGTTGTGTGAAATGTTTCTGTGCCAAAGATAAGTGTGGGGTGTGCGTTGAGGCCACAGAGCTTATTTTGAAATTTTAAGGTCTTGCTTTCACTGTGGAACAGCGGTGCATCAAGCTGGAGGATGACCCCTAGGGAGGTCCTGCAGTGTAATTAGTAAAGTCAGCCATCAACCGCGTGGTACAGGGCAGGTAAATACTCAGCTGCTAACCAATAGCTCGGTGATTGGAACCCACCAGCTGCTCTGCGGGAGAAAGAAGTGGCAGTGTGCGTCCCTAAAGTTTACAGCCTTGGAAACCCTGTGGGGCAGCTCTGCTCTGTCCTGTAGGGTCGCTGTGAGTCAGCATCGGCTTGACGGCAGTGGGTTTGGTTTCAGTTTGATGCCTACAGCATCTATTGAGCAGGCATTTTTCTAAGCAGAGCTAGAAAGGCCGTGACCCTGGCTGATGTTGGGAGTTTTAGGCTGCTCCCTGCATAGCACCCATGGCTGCAAGCTGTCCTCAGTGCCCAGATTCTGTTATCTGTAAAGTCACTGGTTTCCAACTAAATGAAACTCCATCATTAGAAAAAGTTTTCACCATTCCCTGATGAAGACGGAACTAAACCTCTGTGTAGTGCGTACCAGGTGCTTGTCTACAACAGGACTGAAAATAAAAACTCTTAATTAGATCATTGACTCTTCTGTGATTTGTGCTGGTTTTAAACGTTTTTCCAAAAAGATGAATAAATTTATAGGACTCCTGATTGTTAAAACAATGGGCTGCCATCCCACAGGTATCTGCATACGTGCCCGAGATGCACCACTGTATGGAGCGTCCTGAGGCCTGAAACGGCCCCAGTGTCCCTTGGTGGGGGACCTACTAAATGCATTGTAGGACAGCTATATGTGGGGAGGGGACACATGTTAGCAGAAACGGCCCCAGTAGGGGCCTTGGTGGGGGACCTACTAAATGCGTTATAGGACAGCTATATGTGGGGAGGGGACACATATTAGCAGAAATGGCCCCAGTAGGGGCCTTGGTGGGGGACCTACTAAATGCGTTATAGGACAGCCACATGGTGGGGGGGCACACATTAGCAGAAATGGCCCGTGTCCCTCGGTAGGAGACCTGTCAAATTACAGGACAGCCATATGTGGGGAGTGGGCACGTATTAACGACTGTGCCGTGGTTAAAAAGAGTAACGTGGATTATAGATGGAATAATTTCCAAGATGAATGTTTAAACGAAAAACCAAGGTTTCTGAAGAATGTGTAGTTAGCGTCAAATAAGAAAAAAGCAAACGGTACAGATTCGGATGCATGCTTTTATAAGCGTAAATTATCTTGTCAGATCGCATGAGGAAGGAAAAGGTGACAAGTTACTTCTAGACAGAGTACTTTTTTTTAATCTGCATGTTCTGAATTGAGGGAGAAAATTCATTTTAGAGGGTGTTTGTGTTTGATTGCTGTGGATGTCCGTGAGGCTGTTCACGTCCCCTTTGTCCCTGGTGTGTGCCTCAACATTGCCTAGTGCTTTCAAATTGTGTATCATGTGGGCAGGTGCTCTGGTCTCGGAAAAATGTAGGAAACGGAGAGATGGAACATGGTAGCACAGTGGCGGGCTGGCCTGTCACCTGCCGCTCAGTCTCTGAATGTGTGTCTCCTGACAGCGACGGTGGCAGCCATGTACTACAGCTACTACATGCTGCCCGACGGTACCTACTGCCTGGCGCCACCCCCTCCCGGGATTGATGTGGCCACTTACTACAGCACCCTGCCCGCGGGCGTGACCGTGTCCAGCTCCACCGGCGTGACCACAGCCCCGCCGCCTCCTGGGACCACGCCGCCGCCTCCCCCGTCCACCACAGAAACAAGCAGTGGGGTGACCTCTACGACCACCACAACAAGGTGCGTGCGCGTCACAGCTTACTGTTGTGTCAGCGCGGTGCGTCAGAGATTGTGGTTTGGGGACTTTTGTAATCTGGATTAGTCACAGAGCTCTCCACTATGGGAGCATTTAACCCCAAATCCCCATGCCACAGAGGTGATAGGAAAACAGCAATGGTCATGATGTAAACATTTTAGCAATCCACATGGATTCTCACTTGACGTCCCATCTCCATCTTAGCCCCAGCCTCTGGTCCTGCCCGTGTCAGCACCTCAGCTGGCAGTACTGGCCTGGTCAGTGTGGAGGGAAACCACGGTTGTTTGCAAAAATGGCACAGTTTCATAAAGTTGATGAGAGTGTCCTTGGTGTACTTCTTGACTCTCACACAAGCCTTTGGCAAGCAGGGATCTGACGGGCTGGCGGGTAGACCAGTTAACCGCTGAAGAGGGGTGGATGCTGGCCCAGGTGACTGTGAGTGCTAGATCCCTGCTTCTCCACTTGTAAGGGTGCAGGTCAGATCTCTTGGATGAACGGGTGCTTGATCAGCACTTCATAAGAGGGACTTGGATAGCACAAGTTTAAAAGAGACTCAGGAAATTTGATTAGGCACTTGCATATTCCTGCAGAAATGGCCCTCTTCCGTGATCATGCATGGACATCACAGGTGAAATGAAGGGCGTTGAGTCGTGCTAGCTGACTTTTTTTGTAACATTACCAAAAAAAAAAAAAAGAATCAATGCTTGGTTTGTTAGCATGTAATTGAGGGGAACTGCTTACCAGGAGAAAAAAATGAACCTGTTTTTATGACTTCAGGTGTCATTTTTCAGTAAAATCCTCATTTTCACCATTTCCTGTTGAGATTTTGGTCCCTGTTTCAAGTGGATTGACGTGAATTAGCCTTTTATAGTACCAGTCCTAACTTCCCTGTGAACGGGAACATCTGAGACAGTGAAGGCCCTTTCTCCCACCCAGTGTGGCCCATGCTGCATCTAGCCACGGGCCAGTGTGCCTGCACCTGACTCGTCCACGTGGGAGAGTAACCCCAGCTTCTCCTCCCTGCAGTGCCCTTGCCCCCGTGGCTGCCATCATCCCCCCACCCCCGGACATCCAGCCTGTGATCGACAAGCTGGCTGAGTACGTGGCCCGGAACGGCGTAAAGTTTGAGAGCAGTGTACGTGCCAAGAATGATCAGAGGTGAGGAAAACCGTGTTGGGTGAACTGTGTGGGGTGAACCCGGTGGGGTGAGCTGTGTGAGGTGAGCCGTGTGGGGTGAGCCGTGGGGAGTGAGCCTTGGGGAGTGAGCCGTGGGGGGTGAGCCATGTGAGATGAGCCGTGTGGGGTCCAGGGTTGTCGTCGAGCTTGGTGTGGGTTCTTCATCCAGCTCCATGATCCCCTTTCCTAATGCCTTTAATCCTTCTGTTGGTTCAGATGTCTTTAGGTAAATGTATCTGGTAATTATCTTGTTAAATTAGTTAGAATTGGGGTAGGTTTCTCTAATGAGTTATCTGTTTGTTCAGTTGGTTTGGTTTTTTAAGCGAGAATGTTGAACCAACCTAAAATAAAAGGCTGGAAGTCATGCTTTTCAAGAATCTGCCCTGGGAATTCAGATACAACCTCCCGCCCCCACTTTTTTCCTTTAAATCAGATAATGTTCCAGGCCTCAATTAGTAAAACAGAAGCTGCGGGGTTCATTTGCAGGGTGACCTGCGTAACCTTGATGCTCTCTGCCCCGCAGTTTCCCTTGGGTGCAGTAGGATGTAATGGTAGCTACTTCCTGATGTTGTGGAGGTAATGAGGAGTTAGTCACTGTGATGCGTTTAGGACAGTGTCTGGCTCAGGGAGGGTACAGTGAGCGCTGGGTGGCGTTAAATGACCGGCTTTCCTCGTGTTTGTTCAGGTTTGAGTTCCTGCAGCCCTGGCACCAGTATAACGCCTACTATGAGTTCAAAAAGCAGTTCTTCCTCCAGAAGGAAGGTGGCGACAGTGCACAGGTACGTCCGTGAGAAGGCAGGGCACCCTTTGCCTTGGTGGCTCCGACACACACACACAGAAGTAACTGTGTGCGTCCCAGCATGTCTGAAAGGCCTTGCTGATTGAGCACACTTCGATTTTAGGCTCCAGGTATATGCGGTGTATGAGGTAGAACATGCTTTCGATCTGCCAACAACTCACGTATGTTCACAGTACACAGGTGCTCATTTGTCCAGCAGGTTCTAGACAAAAAATCCTGTTTTTTCAGGCATTGGATGTTTTGGTTGGCCGTTGTTCTTAGTGACTTTTGATGAAAGCCATACACTATTAATTGCATTAATGTATACTTAAACATAAAATTTAAACCTGTGTGTTCATAGCCGATGGTCTGGAGCTGCAGGGCTGCAGGTGGCTCAGGGAAAAGGCCATGAGTGTTGGCTCACAAGACTGCGTCAGAGCTTTGAGGAGCAGGGCACTCTCCCAGGGGGACAGAACCTCCTCTCCTCTTTCCACCCTCTGGCCTACCAGAGCAGCGGCTCTGAGTGTGGAAGCTGTTCCTTAGTGCTGCCCAGGCAGTTCTGTAGAAATGCTGTGTCTGGTGAAATGCACGTATTACCTCTCCTGACAAGTTCACGTCATCCCCGTGTAGCAGTTTATTGTCCTGTCCAGTCTCTGCAGGCTGCAGCAGCGCCAGAAGAGGCTCCGGCTGAATCTGCCGCTGAGAAACCGAGTGAGGCTGTGGATGACGGGGCGTCTGAAGACGTCGCTGAGGGTGGAGGAAGGGCAGCCTCGGGGAAGAAGGAAGCGGCATCCGGCAAAGCCGTCCCTGATGGGAAACTCGTGAAAGGTATGCTGTGCGCCCCGCATGCCCACCTCCTCACCTGAGAGGCCGTGCTCTAAGCTGGCAAGAAGGATTCTGGGTTAATTAGGTTAGAGCAGTACTCTTCTAGTTTGGAGTTGGGGCCACTTAGATATAAGCCAGTCTTAGGTATGTGTGTATGTAGCAGCCTGTTCATCTGAGCAATTGGTGGGAATGTTTAGGACATTTCAAATCATGCTCCATACCCCTCAGACTTCTGAACTCTCTTTATTACAAGCTGCTGTACTAATGAAAGTAGCTCTCGGGGTTGCCGAGAAGAAGTCCCTTAAGGCTGTCACCGTGCAATACTGTGCATGCCCAGTTTTAGTTACCTTGTTGTGATCCGTTCCTGCAGGGGGTTTCTCATGTGCAGGACAGGCAGACATGTAAATAGCCAAAATAATAAACAAGCAAAATGAGGAAAGTCAGGAGCAGATGCGTCAGCGAAGATCTGTGTGGTAAAACACGGATAAGCAATTACTCCACCTGGGAGGGCGGGCCAGGCTTTGTGGAGAAAGGAGCACTTGAACAAGGTTCTGTGGGGTGGGTGGAATTCCAAAGACAGGGACATGATCACGGTGGAGGCGTGGGGCCTGGCTGAGGGGCTGTGTGGCCTGGGGACACGGGTGGGTGGATGAGCAGGACACAGCTGGAAATGCAGAGTCTGGCCGCTTGTGGGGCTCGCTGCATGCTGAGGTCACTGGACTATTCTGTGGCAGCAGAACTCCTTCGTAGGCTTTAGGAGAGTGGTGACCGTGTCCCATCTGGTGGCTGAGATAGTGCATGCGGGAGCAGCAGCACCGCTCTGACGGCAGGCCGTGGCCACAGCTCTGGCTCACGAGAGCGGGCAGAGCAGGCCCAAGACGGGTGGACTTTCAGGACTGCCTTTCTCTGCATGGGGGCCTTTGTTTTGATAGGAATGGTGAGCGTAACAAGTAACTAAATTGGCTCCCTGGGAAAATTCAGCTCTTTAGAAAAAAGTTTTAAAGTTTCGTTGGGCCCCTCATTCCAGAAGGTTAACTGAGCATTGTGTTTAATCTCTCACCCTTCCTGGCCACGTACAAGCTCTCATTGAGTCCTCTGAAGGAAGAGGATAAGTCGGGGGAAAAGCGTTAGTTGCGCTGGAAACCAGGGGCAAGCAGTATACGTACTTCAGAAGCTATGAGAACTTTTATCAGATGCAGACAGAAGAGATGGAGGGCACGCCTGTCAGCCAGGGTGCTGGGAGGGGGCTGGAACAAATGGGTGCTCGAGGAGCAGCTCATTGGCCCTGCCACTGTCTCAGGAAGTGCAGTGGGTCTGCACCTTAGAGGTGGCTCGACACCTGCCTCCACTGCTGATGAGCTGAGCAGAGTAGGCCTGCCACAGACACCACGGGCTTGCCAGTTGCCAGGGCTGAGCCACCTGCTGGGTACAGTTGCCTCCACTCTCCGTGCCCAGTCCTGTAATCTGGAGAATTAAAACAGCACATTCCAGTGAGGTATCTGAACAGACACCTGTACAGGGTCTGACAAAGCCCTTCCCAGCTCACTTCCGGAAAAAGAGGCGTACCTCCCTCTACAGCGATAAGGAAACGGGAAAACTACTGCACCCATAAAGATGCAGAAGGTCAAAGGAGACACGTCTGAGCTTCCTGAGCAGATGGGCTTCTCTGAGACATCGTACCAAGTAACGAGGAAGTTTCTAAACCTCTAATTTGTATTCTCACATCTACCTGACATCTGTGAAACTAGTGTAGCCCTTACTCTGCCATCTGGGAAAGACTGCCAGATTGTAAAATATAATAAAGGCACTAAAGAATAGATAGAGTGAGAAGACAAGCTCAGAGTTTTTCTCAAATCTCAGAGGAAAAAGATGGAGATGGGAGAAAAGCGTCCAGGTAGAAACACATGCAAGTTATCGTCCAAGGGAGAGAAATGCAGGCTGGCCCATCAGACCACCGCATTAACCGTGGATCACTGAGGCGTACCTGGAGTTCTGGATGGAAGTATTTTGAATGCAGCAGGTAGGCTTTCAGACACGTCGGCACTCTGAAATAATTAGTAAAGAAAGTGAAGACAATGAGAATAGTTCTTAGCAAGAGACTACCAGATGCAGGAAACGTTTTATTCAAAGAATAGTAGAAAGGCTTTTATGCCTATGTTGGTTACAAAAAAAAAAAAACCACAGAACAATTGAGCATTAAACTCAAGAATCTAGGAAGAAACTATAGAATGCATCAAAGGAGGCAGGAAAGGGGGCTCAATAAATATAGAAGCACAAACTAGTGAGAAAATGATAGGAAACCCAGTAAAGTAGACCATCACTGTACATGTTTAATGAAGGAAAAAGCGCATACGTAGATACACAGTATCAATGAGGAAAAAAATATCTTAAGTACCCAAGAACAATATATATAACTCTAAATTTGAATAAATTTGAAAATCACTGGAAAATATCATTTTCTAAGAAAGCACGAATTGCTAAAATTATTTCAAGAGGCACTAGGGAGCTAACGTATATCTGTAGACCTGAAAGAAATTAGAAAATGTTGGTCGGTGAAATCACTCTAAAAAGAAGCCCAGCACGAATTAACAACAAGTTAACGTACCTTCAAGAAATAGAAAGGCCCATGTTATTAAGTCTACCCCAGGGAATTAAGAAAGATGGAAAACGATGGTGCTCTCAGAGCCTTAATATTCAGACCTCACAATACCTAGCAGCCTGTAGGCCACCTTCACTTAGGAGTAGAGATGCTGACATCTTAGACTGAACCCAGCTCTACATAAAGTAAGCTGTCAACAAGTGGGATTCCTTCCAGGACATCCCACATGGCGTCCCACCAGATGGCCTTTGATATTTTATCATATTAACAGATGAAAGACTTTTTGGGTTTTTATCTTAGTAGATGCTGAAAAAGCCTCAGTATTCCTGAAATTTTTAAAGTAATAACTTCCTTATCACAATAATTGATATTGGAAAACCAGGCTCTCCATTTTGGAGGAAGAAAATTAAATGCGACACTACATCACATCTGACAACGGTGATAATTCCAGGAAGATTAAATATCTAAATGTGAAAAATAAAAGTAGAAGAAACGTAATTTTTTTTATAATCTTGGAGTTTGGAAGGACTTTGGAAGAATTAAAGCCACAAATCATAAGGAAGGATTAGTAGGTGTGATGGGGCCAGGGGATCAATAAAGTTAAAAGACAAAGGTCAAAATAATGGTGGTTTCTAACATAATGGAAGATAAAGAGTTAATAGTCTCACGATAGAAAGAGTGCTTATGAATCAATAAAAAGATAGTCATTGCAGCAGGAAAACGGACAAAACACACGAAAAGATAGTTCCCAGAAGAAGAATAGATGATCTGTAACTAAAATTTCTTGAACATATCCTCATTAACAAGATACTGTTTTTTACCTCTCAAGTTGATAAAGTTAGAGCAGATAATACTCAGTGATGGGGAAGATTGTTCTGGAAGTGGAGTCTGGCACAGCCTCTGTGGAGGGCATCCTAGCCATGTGCACCAGATTTTAACTGTGAACAAGTGTCTCGTCACACACATACCGCTCACAGAGACGTCTGTGCAAGGACCTTCACCACAGCGCCAGCTGGTCCTTAGAACGAAAACTTGGAGGAAACAGCCGTGGACGACGCACTGCTGCCAGTTACAGTGCAGTATGCTGACTGTGAGGCTGCAAGGGCCTGGCGTGCTGACAGATGAAGGGAAGGCCCGCCGCCACCGGGGCTTTGGTTGGGGGGGCCTTGAGGGAGGGGGCCTTGGGAGACACCAGAGAAGGCTGTAGGAAGTGCTTTTCCTGGGCTGTGGTATGTTTGCGAATAAAATGGGGGGAAGAAGCAGTAGTTACGTAATTGAATAGTGCTACAAAACGAACTCATCCCTCATCCCCTGCTTCCGAGCTGGCTTACCTTGGGAAAGTCTGTGAAATGGGAGCCTGATCATATGTGTCTCACAGGGCTGTTACTGTCACGCGAGGTGTAAGGTAGAGAGAGTGTGCAGACGGGCTGTTCTCTTATCAGATGGCTTTAAAGTGCATGCCCAGTAATGGTGCCGTGTGGCGTATTTGGTTGGTACGCCAAAATGCTCGCTTTCCAATGTCTGCTTTATACTGAATGTTAAGATAGAAAGCCTCGAGCTTTCATTTTAATATTACGTTTGTTGATTGTTTACTTTCCTAGTTTGGGGCAAGAGATGGTTTAGGAGTAATTATTTTGTGATTTAATATTCTATTCTGGCGCTTTAACTTGAGTGATTTTGATTAACGTTTTAAGTGAAGGTTTCTCTCGTTTTGAAAATTTCCTTGGCCCTACGTTTATCAAAGAGACCATGTTACTACAGGCAATAAAGGGTTAATTTTGTTAAACTTTTTTTTTTTTACAGAAAATGTCAAACATGTACAAAAACAGAGCACAGTGTATAGTGACACCCCCCCACACACACGCACACACACTCTCATCAGCCAGCTTCAGCGATTCACCCAGGGCTGATCTTCCTTTGCATACTCACTCACAGCCCTCCCTGGCAGGTCATTTTGTCCATAAATATTTTAGCATGTATCTCTTAAAAATTGGACTTTTCTACAAACAAAATAAAGTGGTTATTACTGAGTCTACTTACAAAGCGTATTTTTAGTCCCTGTGTTCTATCTGTGTTTTAGGGGCATTGTTCTGAACGGGAACATAAAATACCTAACATTGCAAAATCAATACAAAGACTGTAATTTTTCTCTTTTTTAACTTTACCTTATAAATACTGCTCTCCCAGCAGTCACTGTCTTTATCTTGGGGTGTGCCGTGGAGCTTGAGGTGATCACTGATGAAAGGAAGTTACATTTCAAGATCTGCTTTAAATCATTCATGGGTTTGGAACCATAAAATGCGAGAAGTGGGAGAAACCTCCTGGACCAGCTGGTCTAAACTGTCGCTGGGGCCTCAAAAGTGGAATTAGTTACATCGTTCACCACGTTCTGAAACCTGCCTTTGTTTACTTAGAATCCATTTTCCTTTCATAGTCAGCTGCTTTGTAAGACATTTAAAATTTCCTTTCATTTTTGTGGTTTACCCTGGTGACATAGCTATGGCTGCTAACCAAAAGTTCAGCAGTTCCAATCCACCAGTTGCTCCTTGGAAACCCTATCGGGCAGTTCTCCTCTGTCCTGTAGGGTCGCTATGAGTCAAAATCGACTGGACGGCAACAGGTTTTGGTTTTTGGTGGTTTACTTGAATATCCTTTGTAAACAATAAGGAATGGTTTATAAAAATAGAGTACCTTATTACAATCAATTAGCAGTTTTAAGAGCCATTTCCCCCATATCTAAAAGGAAGGGACTCTATGAGCCTTTGTTGAAGTGGATGGGGCGGGAAGATGTTTTCCTTTGGGACCTTTGTGTTGCTCTTAAATAAAATTTTCCAAATATTCTAGGGGAGAAAAATTGAACCACCCAAGTTTTGTTATACTAAGCTTAAGAAATTCTTATAGGTGTGAGAATAGGCTGACCTAATGCTAGCATGAAGTCAGCATCTAGTAGAATGTTTGCTGAGTTAAGGAAGGGGTTCTCTAATTTTTGCTTTCTAAGAAAGGACTTTGTCATATAGTCAGGATCTTTTACGATACCTTTTTATAGTGAAGTTGCATCATCTACTTACTTAACATCTATAGGCCGAGTCCCCTCCACCTGCAAAGAAGGAGAGTTGACCATTTGAAAATGCCAGCGGTCCCACTGTGTCCCCCCAGTGGGTGTGCCCTGTGTGGCCCTGACTTGGGAGCTCCATCAGTTGGATTTGGTGTGGCTCAGTGTGAACCTCCCCAGTGAGCATGGGTTGGTGGTTGTCACAGTGTCTTACTGTGCATGGGATGTGCTGGAATGGACGTGCGTGACAGGTCTACTTGCCAGCGGCAGAGACTCCCTCCTGCATGCAGTGGGGCTCCACACTCTAGACTGTCCCTCCTGCCGGCGGCGCACCCGCGGATCCCGTAGACAGGAGGACCTGTAAGCGTTTCTGTCTGTTCTTCTAGTTTCTTTGAAATGTGTTACAATTTTCGCCTTTTCTCAATAGCTTCCTTTGCTCCAATAAGCTTTGCAATCAAGGCCAAAGAAAATGATCTGCTTCCCCTGGAAAAAAATCGTGTTAAGCTAGATGATGACAGTGATGATGATGAAGAAAGCAAAGAAGGCCAAGAAAGCGCTAGTTGTGCTACAAACCCTAATCCAGCAGTTGTCCCACCCTGTGTAGTTGTTGAGGAGAAGAAACCTCAACTTACCCAGGAGGAGCTAGAAGCGAAGCAAGGTTTGTAGACACGTTTTAAACTTCTTGAAAGAAATAAAGTACGTAAATCAAAGATTAATCTTACTAAGCCAGAAATACTGAGACTGCCAGCGAGAATCTCAAGTGTCTGGGAGTGAGAGCCCTCTGGGTGTTGTGTGCTGTTTTTGAGGGTTTGGAGCGCTCTGTGCTGGAGGGATGAGTGTACTCTTCATTAGGCCTCTGCTGCGGGGCCGCTGGCAGGCGATCTGTCTGCAGAGCCATCATGTCGGCCGTCCTGGCCGGCCGCACCACGGCAGAGTGCTCTAATGGAGAGGCTCTTTGCGCTTGGATTGCAGTCTGGGGTGAAATGCTCGGCCCGCATCCCCATTCACGTTAATGTACCAGGCGGGGAGAGGCCTTCTGTGAGGCTGTCTCACCGCAGAGCCCCCGGACCCTGAGACATGCGTGCCTGGCTGACTCCCAGGCTGTGGTCCCCGCTGTGAGCATCGCACGGCCTTCACGCACACCTCTGGGGTGTCTGCGCCAGCCGGGGGGCGGGACAGCCCGAGTCCTTCCACCCCAACCCAAAGCGAAATTACACTCCGCATGAGATCAGCTCATTAACGTTTGCCTTTATGGTTTTTACCTATTCTGACTGGTTTTCTTAAGTTGCTTTTTCTGTACTTACGCAAACAGATCAAGCCACATTTATAAAAGGTACTTTTTAAATCACAACCTGCCTTACTATCCAGAGCTGGCATTGTGCGAGAGCTGCTGTCCCTCAGCAAACTGGTCATCATGTGTGTGTCTGCAGCTCCACGTACTGTGTGCAAACTCCACACCTTGCCGGCTCATGGGACTGAAACGCCTCCTGGGGTATTCCCTGCTTGGTGTGAATGTTTGGCTACGTGTGTGTGGATAAGTGCCTTTCTGAGGTTCTCGTTATTCCAGCTTCCACTAGTGTGGACCTTCTCACTGTTTGGAAGGTAACATGTCAGAAAAATAAACAAACCAATTTCCTCAAAATCTCGTTGCCGATTCTGTTCACCTGTTCTGAATTTTGTACCACATTCTCTTTTTTGAGCAATTGCATTGCATTTCATGACCTTTTTGCTACCTGTGAAAATTAAGATAGCATGATAAAAAATACCGCTTGCTCTAAACCTCATCTTTTGTTGTTTTTTCCTTAAGCAAAGCAAAAGCTGGAGGACCGGCTGGCAGCTGCCGCCAGAGAAAAGCTCGCCCAAGCTTCTAAGGAGTCAAAGGAGAAGCAGCTTCAAGCGGAGCGTAAAAGGAAAGCTGCTTTATTTTTACAAACCTTAAAAAACCCTCTGGCAGAAGCAGAAGCTGGGAAGATTGAGGAGAGCAATTTCACTGTGGAGGTAAGTCAAGGAGACAGTACCTCAGTTGCTGGGGAAGCATGGGGCCAGGTCATCACCTCTGGCCACCCAGACCTGCCGGCGTGGAGGACGCTGGCATGCACAGGTGCCAGACTGTACCTGACTGCTCTGGATCTGGGAATCCGTGGCGACTCCCTCCCTGGGTACTCATGTGCACATTCACACCAAGTGTGGGGTTCAGTATCGAGACCCACAGTCCCTGAGGCCCCAAGGTAGGGGACAGTGCTTGGTGGCCAACCTCACAGGGCCAAGAGGAGAGCTTCCTGGCATCTCGCATTGGGTCTGTGATCAAACATGTCAGACAGACGAGCGCACTTGGATATATGGATTTAGGGTCTGGCAGCTCCGCCCTGGCTTGTGTGTGTACACCCAAAATTAGACAATAGGTAAAAGGTTGTGGCTTTTTTTTTTTTTTTTTTAATGTAAGAGCAGTTAAAACAGTTGTTTTTAAAAAATCTTTGTCAGCTTAGTCTGTCTTTTTAAAAAAAATAAGTGTTACCTAAGTCCAGGAATTTTACTTTCTGAAAAGATTCAAACCTTCAGAAGAATGGACAGAAAAGTACAGAGAACACCAGTATGCCCTTCACCAGGTGGCCAGACACTCAGGCCTGCATGCGTGCACACGTGTGTGCTCTCACTTGCGCATGGATGCTCATATCTGCACAAGTGCTCTCACGTACGCGCTCATGCCTTTTTTTTTTCTTTTTTCAAACCATTTGGCAATCAGTTGCCGACATCCTGACCACTCAGTCTCCCCAGCCGCTTCGGTGCACGTCTCCTAAGATCAGGGACACTCTCCTGCGTGACCACGGTGCCATTGTCACAGAAAGGTGATGCTGACACCGTGTCATCTGATGTGCAGCCCATGCCTACCTTTCCTCAAGCGTCCTGAAAGCACTGTTTATAGCTGTGCGTTTCCCTTTAGTACAGAAAACTGCCTTGGCTCTTTGGACTTTAATTACATTGACATTTCAAAGATTCTGGGGCCACGGTTCAAAACTGGTTTTTGCTGAACGTAGGCATGTGGTTGGTTTGTTCCATGGAGAGCAACATTGTGACATCAGACTCGAGCATCCTACTCAAGGCAGAATAACTTCCTTGTCTCGGAAATCCGTCTAAAATTCTCTCAGATCTGGCAGGAGGCCTCCAAAATTAAGAGCTGGACCACATGGGGGAAAATTTGAGTTTTCGTGGGATCTTATTGAGCTGTGGAACGTAGCCTGGTGGGCTGAGCCCTTCTGCCTCACTCTCAGGTTTTCCAGGCCGTGGAGGTTAGCGTCGGCTCTGATGCTGCTAATGACCCTGCCCCTGAGTGGTCATCTGCACTGCTGTGCCCGGCAGTGGGGTGGTCCCAGCCAGGACAGCTGTCACTCAGTCCCCCGTGGCTCTCAGGACGGCCACCTGGCTAGGGCCTCCATCGTGTCCTCTTCTGGCTTCTCAGCTCAGCCAGTTAGGGCCAGAGCGGGAGCACCCACAGAAAGGGCTCATGGCTACTCCTCAGCTTCGAGAAGCCTTCAGCAACAATAAGGGAATGAAATATGCAGCAACTAGAAATGATTATGAAGATGACCATGAGCGCACAGACGGATGCGGTTATAGAGTGACGCGGAGAAGCAGACTAGAAAACGGCTCTGCTTAATGGCTACGACTATGAGAAGTATGTGTACAGTGTGGTGGGGAGAAAACTCTAAAAAGCAAGGGCATTGTTACAGTGGTAGGAATGTGAGTGGTTTATTTGGGTTGCCTTTATTGTTAGGATGTCATTTGTGCAGTGAATAAAGGGTTTAATTAAAGGATATCTGAAGAATAGATACTTCAACTGGTTATATTACATATCGTATCTATATTTTCTAATGAAATTGTGTTTTGATGAAAACTCAGTCACAGCTAGAACCATTCATCATTGATCCACAGTCCTTCCCCATGTTTCCTTGGGAGCACACAACGCTGCGCCCCCGTTTCTTGCCTGTCTTCTGCTCACCGCCAGATGTAGCTGCTCCCAGCCGTCCTGTCTTCCAAGACTGGTTTTGATTCCATAACACATAGAACGAGTTTTCTGCTTCTTTTTAAATCAATTGAATGATTTTTCTGGATCTATAATGGTGCAGATCGTAGCTACTAAACTATTTCAACAAAAATGTAGTGTTAGCAGATGTCTCTAATCGCTTTGGAACAAAAATACTTGTAATTAAATTGACGGTTGTCATAAATAAGGTTCATTCTCTGGAATTTTTAGCCAAAAGCAATTCCTGACAACGTGTTGCCTTTAATTTTTAACTGAACGTCCTTATATGCACTGTACTCAGAGATGTGGGTACGTGTGACCAAAGTGCATAAACGTGGAGTGTTTAGCATTCAGAAGCACCTATGGCATTACCTGGTTTGGTGGCATTACCTGGCCTGGCCACCTTGTGCTCTGGATGCAGAAACCCCACAAGGCTGAGGAGTGAGTGGTCTGGTCTAATTGATGTTCCCAAAAGATGTCCTCCCAAGTGGTCCCCTCGCGATCCTGCTCTCCTGGGCCGCCAGACACACGTGGGCAGTGTAGATGCTCATGCCAGGAGGCCAGGCACAGAAAGGACAGGCATTTCCCTTTCTATACCTTCCAGTTTCCTGAAAACAGCCGTAGTGCTTCTGCTTTGTCTTAAAGAAAGGTGGTTTTATACTTTTTTTAATAAGCAATGCATACTGTGATTTAAAAAAATCATCACACTCACTGATTTCAAAACATCCTATAAAGCTACAGTAATCAAAATAGCCTGATACTGGTATAATAAACATGTAGACCAATGGAAAAGAATTGAGAGTCCAGAAATAAACCTGTACATCTGTGGTCAACAGATTGACAAAGAAACGAGGTACATTCAATGGGGAAGACAGGCTCTCTTTAACAAACAGTGCTGGGACAATTGGATCTCCACATGTAGAAGAATGAAGCTGGACCCCTACCTCACACCATATACAAAAATCAACTCAAAATGGATCAAGGACCTAAATGTGAGAACTAAAACCATAAAACTCTTAGAAGAAAACAAGGAACTGGTTTTCCACAATGGTTCTTAAATATGACACTGAAAGCATAAGCAGCAAAAGACAAAATAGATAAATGAGACTTCATCAAATTTAGAAACTTTTGTGCATCAAAGGACTTCATCAACAAAGTGGAGAAAACCTACAGAATGGGAGAAAATCTGGGGGAACCATATATCTGATAAGGGTTTACTATCCTGAATATATAAAGAACACCAACAACTTTACAACAAAAAGACAAACGACCCAGTTAGAAAATAAGCAAGGGACTTGAAGAGACACCTCACCAAAGAGGATGTACAAGTGGCCAACAAACACAGGTAAAGATGTTCAGTGTCATTAGTCGTTAGGGAAATGCAAACCAAAACCACAGCAAGATACCACTTCACTTCAACTAGAATGGCTGTGATTAAAAAAACAAAATAATAGGTGTTGGCAAGGATATGGAGAAATTGGAACCCTCATCCATTGCTGGTGGGAATGTAAAATGGTACAGCCACTGGAAAACAGTTTCATGGTTCTTCGAAAAGTTGGACATAGAACCTACCATATGACCTAGCAATCCCAATGCTAGATATATATCCAGAAATGAAAGCAGAACCACAAGCAGAAACCTGTATAATACCAGTGTTCATTGCAGCACTGTTCACAATAGCCAGGGTGTTCCAAGTATTCGTGGACAGATGATAGATAAGCAAAATGTGGTTCATACACACAGTGGAATACTACTCAGCCATAAAGAGAGATGAAGTCCTGACGCATGCCACAACGTGGATGAACCTTGAAACATGACGCTGAGTGGAGTAAGTTAGACACAAAAGGACGAAGGACCCCGCTTGTATGCAGCAGGCACATGTGTGTTAGTGGTTATCAGGGGTGGCGGGGAAGGGGAAGCCTCTGCTTAGGGGTGCCGAGTCTCTGCTGATGGTGGTTTCACAACATGCTGAATGTGGCCTGTGTCACTGAATCGTGCACGTGAGGGATATTGAATTGGCAGACATTTTGCTAAAAATATTCTAACCACAGTAAAACAGCTTTAAAAAAAAAACCAGAGCACGTCATCACTGAATTGTGCACGTGAGGGATGTTGAATTGGCAGATGTTTTGCTGTAAGTATTTCAACCCCAGTAAAATAATTTAAAAAACAAACCCAGAGCCTAAAACTCATGAGCATAAAAACTGCAGTTGAATAAATCACATCAGTTAATTTTGTGTGTCTTCTCTTTTTTAATAAAATACTTCACCTGAAGAAAAAAACATTAAAATGCTAGAGAAAGGTATACAATGGAGAGTAGAAGTGTTTTCCAACTTCTCTCCCCAAAAAATAGTTTCTGTTTCTTGTGTATTGTTGAGGGGAAAAATGTCTGTTTATCAATGTATGGCTTTAAAATTTCACACTGATGAACCCACACCATGGACGTTATTCTGGCATCCGCCCTTTTTCCCTCACGTTAGAGCGGTCCTTCCGTTCCTCTGGCAGCTCACAGTGGTGCCTGGTGTCTTAACGGCACTCAGTAAGTGCTGGCTGGGGGAGTGACTGTCGGAGCTTCCATACCCTGTCAAGTACACCGCTCTCTGGGTGTCCACGGCTCGGCCAGCCCCTCCTCGTCCTGGGCACCGTCCGTGGGTCTTGCTGTTGAGAACATACTGCAGTGAGCACACATGTGTCCTCCCCCTGTGCACGTCACCACATGTGTCCCTCAGGCGGGGTCCTGGCCGTGAAGTGGCCGCATCACAGTCTCTGTGCCTTTTTATCTGAGGCACTGCTGAATGGCCTCAAAACAGACGGCTTGCTGCCTCCGTAGAAGAGGAAAATAACTGCACCCACCCCCTGCCGTTCTACTTAACCTTTCATTTTTGTGCCCGATGGGGCAGTGGTATCCCTTTGTTTTAATTTGCAGGTTTTACTTACCAGAAGTATGAAGTAACCTTTCCTCTGTTTCTTGTCCATT